CTTCTGCTCCAAGCCAGCAGCCTGTGGGGAAGCCGCGAGGCAGGTGCCCTGCGCAGCTCGGGCTCAGGCTCTCAGCAGACTCAGGCCATGTCTGAGCCTAGGGACGGCTCGGGGCTTGGTCACAGGGTGCTAGGGTTACCAGATGTTGTCACAAAAAATACTGACCCCCCCCCGCCCTCTCCCCCTGCCAAAAAACAAACAAACGCTGGGAAAAAATTCTGTGGAGCAAAAAAGGGAAGGGGGAGCAGGGCCGAGCTGCAGAGAGTGCTGGCATGTTCGCCAGCCGGGGCTGGGGCAGAGCCCGGACAACCCCACTTGCAGGGCGCAAGGACGCCTGCGCTCCGGCGAGTGGGGAGGCTCCGACGTGTGGGGGCTGGAAGCTGGAGCAAGGGCGGTTCGGCCCGGAGAGACGGCGTGAAGCTTTCCCAGCTCTGGGGGTCGGTGGCGGCGCGTCGGGGACCCCACCCTGCACCCCGTAGCAACAAGATGAGACTCTGCCAGCCCGTAGAACAGGGAGTTTATTGCTTCTGCGAGGTACGGCCCAGCCCGGGTTCGACGTGGGCATCCAAGTGAGGGGCAGGCAGCCTCAGACCCCTTGGGGTGGGGTTCTCAGCCCCCGAAGCCCCAGCACTCGGCTCAGTCTCTTCAGCCAGGTGTTCATCCCCACCTCCCTCCCTTTGTCTCCCCCCGGGAAGCGCCTTGTTAAGTGCTGGGCTGGGCCTAAGGGTGTCACGTGGGTGTCAGTGGGAATCCCAGCCCCCCGCTCCGCCACAGGCCCCTGTGGATGGTTTGGGGCTGAGGGCTGGCAAACTAGCTGGTCCCGTCGGGCACATGGGGGCACTGGGTATGGGGGCAGGCAGAGGGGGAGGGGGGGCCGTCAGGAGCCACCGTGCCCTAAGGGGCAGAGATCCTGGGGCACAAGGGAGCCTCGGCTCTGGCCATCACAGTAGCGCTAGCCCCAGGCCAATGCCTGGGCTGCCCCTCTGAGGGCAGAGCCGAGTGCTGGCCACAGGGCCCGGGTGCGGCCTGGCTGCAGCTGAGCAGCCTTCCCCAGCGCCTCTGGCCCCTTCCCTTCCCACCAGCCCTCTCTTTGCAGGCCTCGGGGGGCTCGGCACGCTTGGCCTGCAGCCAGGTGAGTGCGGGGACACTGGGGGCAATCCCGGGAGGTGGAGCTCTGCCCGGAGGGCGGGGGGGACTGCTTGCCTGGTGTGACAGCGTGTTGGGGTTTTCCTGTCTCCTGCACCCCTGTAATGGCACGGACAGACTTCCCCAGACAGTAGAACAGAGGGGGATCTGGTTCCAGGGCAGGCCTAGGATGCCTCAGCCCCCCTTGAGATGGGGAAGCCTGGGCCCCTGAATCCCAGCCCATTGCCTAGGCTGTCTCCTCCATGATTCCAGACAGAAACTAACTCCCTCACTTCCAGCCCTGCCCCCAGCCAGGGCTCCATTCCCCTTCTTCCCATTGTTCCGCTCCCTGGGAGATCACTGGTCAGACAGGTTCGAAGCCCCCTTGCATAATCACTCATCCCCGGCCCTGCTGGGCCGTGCTGCAGCCAGCAGCCAGTGGAGGTCACTCCCAACCCACTGCCCAGCAACCAGCAAGGTACCCCCCACTACGTCACACCCAGGGCCCTCCCTTCCATGCAGTGCACAGCACAGGGCCTAGGGCCCCTCAGATGCCCAGAGATGGGCCAGGCTGACAAGGGCCTTGCAGTGGCTTGGGGGCCAGGCTGTCCCCAGCCCTCAGCAATGGGGTTCAGCTGCAGCCCCCATCTATTGTGCCAGGCATGAGGACAGCCAGGCATTTAACTGTCTGGCCCAGGTTCCTGCCAGCTCTGGAGGGCGTGGAGGATGCGGATGTCCTGGGCTCAGGCAGGGAGCATGGAGGGGAGGGCAGAGATGTGGGGGCAGGGGCAGGGCAGGTGTGGGCGGAGACGGGCGAGACAGAGTGGCGAGGGCGTTAAGGAGTCCGGGCTGACTCTGAAGATGGACAGAGTCCTGCTGTCCCAGCCCCTGCCCCACATAACCCCGCTGCCCCAGCCCCTGGCCCCCCCAGTC